GGGTCTTGAGAATATAGATATAAGATATCCCTGCTGTAAACCTAGTCAAAACAGCTGCATTAAGTTTATGTATCCAGTGGAATGCTTTACCTCTTTTACCTGAACCACCCTTTTGGTAGCTCATCTCAATGATAAATCAGAAAAAAACTACTTTTCAAAATTAGCCTTGAGTTGAAAATCAGGCAGAAGAGGCTTCTGCTTCAGAAACACACAGCAAAACTCCAACTGGGCATATGGAACTCATTGCACAGTTGTTTGGATCTCATCCATATGCTTCCATGATACTCTCTTCATAGGACTAAACCTTGGGAGGTTTGCCAACTCCTCCAACTTTGTCTGTGTCTTTTATTTAAAAAGGAGGAATTTTCTGGGAATAGAGCCAATTCCTCTTATGCAACAATATATTTTTTAAAATAGGACAGCTTACAGAATGGTTACAATGGCATTTTAGGCTATAACAGCAATTAACAAGATTTTCCTGCAGGTATGAACAAAGCGGGATGTGGCATGGATAAAGGCGATTCTCCTTGAAGGTTGCAAAGACATTAATTTGTTCGAACAGCAGCTGTCAGCCTTCAGGGAACACTTATATGCACCGATTGTTGGACAGCAGAGTGCCACTGTGCTCCTGCCCTGCTTGTAGGATCCTGTGGACAGCTGGGAACAGAATGCTGGGCTAGATGGTCTCTTGTATGGCTCTTCTTATGTTCTTATACTTTACTTGCTGATGTACGTGTCCTACATACCTTTCATAAAATTTCTCCATATTTCAGAAAAATTAGGGTTCTGGATGAGGCTTCCCAAACTTGGCACCCTTCCCAAACTTGGCACCGTATTGGATTACAGCTCGGATAATTCCCCTCAATCCGCTATGGAAATTATAAGTCAACACATCTAGAGGGTATCTGGTTGGGAAAGGCTGTTCAACAAAGGCTGTTCTACAACTGTGTACCTCTATAAACCTGGGGGCTATCTAGTCTGAATCCTTGCTCAATGCAGGAAAGACAAATACACGTGGAAGCAGAAGCAGGGACAGCTTTTTATGCCCCAACATTTTTTTTCTTTTTGCTTCTGAAGCAAATTCAGTCTCCTAGTCAGTCTCCAAACTGAAGCCAGGTTAACTCTCACTCAACATCCCTCCCCCATGTATCAAGCAAATGGCCTGCTTCATGTGTGTGTCTATGGGTCTCTAGGATGTTTACCTGCAGAAATATTTTCTTGCAACAGAAAAACCCCACTTTTTTGCACATGAAAAATCACTTTGAGAATGTGCTACTCCAGTTGCAAACAGAAAGAGCAGATGATACATTTTGTTACTGTTGTTGGGTGTCATCACGTTGTCTCTGATTTAAGGAATGCCCTCCATAATGTCTGTTCTTGACAACCTTGCCTGCTCTTGTAATCTCAAGGCTGTGACTTCCTTTATGGAATCAGTCCATCACCATAGTTCTTGTTCTTCTGCCTTCAACTTTCCTTAGCATGACTGTCTATATGGTACATATGTCCAATGACTATTTATTTTTCATTTACTGCCATACTGTAAATTGCCAGCATAGAACAATAAAGCAGTAAGGAAACTGGCCAGATCTTGTTCAACTTATTCATTCTGTCTCCCAGCTGTTTCATATATAATCTTTTATACCAATAGGTGACTGAAGTTTTAGGAAAAATAAAGGGAAAAGGATCTTATTATCTCTGTACGTTATTCAAATATGTACATGTAGGTCATGTGTACAAAGCAAACACAAATATCTCACCAAGAATAGGAAGGACAAACTTTCCCATGCAATGTGAATATGTGAATAAACAGTCCTTTCTATTGTACTTATTAGCTTTTTTCCTTGAGCAGTCAAATGTAGTTGTCAGGGAGTAGTGCAAGGCTCAGCAATAGGTGCCTTTAGCTTAGCAGAAGTACTTCCACACAGGGAAGTCACGACAGCAGATACCCTTCTTCTCTCCTACCTGTAAGCTCCTTATCTATCCAAAGAGCTGTTTCCCTGGCTTTGGAGAAGGAACAGAACAGGATATGGCACTAATAGCTGCAATAAGGAATGGGGCAGGAAGGAAGGTTACAAAAACCACATGTGCCATCCTAAGTGAATGGTTCCATTTCCCATTCACTAAAGCAAAGCCTTCACGGCACACAACCTTGTGCATCTACCTTCCATCAAACCTCCTTTCCCATCAGAGACCATGTTTACCACCCCACCTTGCCTTGTTCTGTATAAACATTACCAGTACAGCACTGCCTTATCCCCGAGATATACCAGGAAAGGGTGTTCCCCCCACATATGATTTTGACCTGTATCCCTTCCTGGAGAGCAGATACTATTAAAAACTAGAGATAGAGCGTGGTGTGTCAGCACGGGCTCGGTTCATGTGGTTGCTGTGCAGGGGGATGTTCCTGCAGCCTCTTCGCTCACACAGTGCCACCTGTGACATGCTCCTCCAACAGCCTCCTTCAGGTGTGCTCCTCTCTTCTGAATGTGGAGGGAAAATCAAGGTATGAATCAGGCCATTGCGCATATACGAGCTTCTTTGTGAAATGCCTGCTTCACATTTGCTGCTCTTCCACTACATGGATTGAAACACCCATTTGTTGAATGCATGAGGCAGGCACTCTTTCTAATTTAATTTCAGATTTGATAGATAGGTGTCTTTGCCTTTAGTATCTGTTTTGTTTTGACATACATGGGCCTTATTAAAATATGTTTGTGATAGCATTAGTTTAACACTTAAATATCCTTTGTTCTGGAACTGGCTTATTTGTTGCATTTAGGCACCTCCCTTTTCCTCCAAGGAGCCCAGGTGGCATACATGATCATCCACCTATTTTCTCTGTACAACAACCCTGTGAGGTATTACACTGAGCCAGTGACTGGTCCCAAATCTCCCCGGGGGTTGGGGATTTGATAACAGATCACTTCAGTCCTAGCCCAAAACTCTATTTGCACTCCATCTTTCCTTCAAGAAAATGGCACTCACTCTGGCTAACAATCATGGGAACCAAACATTTACATTAAAGCCTGGTTAGAACAATAATGCAACACCAGCATTCAAGGCACAGCAGCAGCAGAATTTTTAAAAAGCGCTCAAAAGAGTAGTTTACATGCCAAAGGCCTGCTTGAACATTAACAATAACACAAATCCTTGACAATGTAGCCTCCCTCACTAGTAAATTATATAGCTTGGGGCTGCCTGTATCACCATCTATGGTGACTCTGAAGGTGGCAGAGGAAGGCCTTTATAGAAAAATCCCAAATCCAGCTTCAAAAACGGGGGAATCAAACACTACTCCCACCTGTCCTAGAGCCAGTGCCAGGTCCAATCTGCAACCATCACATGTTGGATCAGGGCCTGTGTCTCCTCACCCATGCCTCACCCGCAAACACCAACACATCATTTTTTAAAACATTCTATTCCCCCCAGCCCCTGGCAACATATTGCCTGATTGATCTATTCATTCTGTTAATCCAAGCATACTGGACTTGTGCTCAGTGGCTTCAGTTGGAGTCCTGATTCTCTGGGAAGTCTTCTGCTTTGCCACTCAGGGACACTTGCTGTAATAAGGTTGCAAGGGCATGAATGACTGCTGTTGCCTCCAGTTGTTCTGGATTAGCTGGCCTTTGCCCACATGCCCTTTACTTCCTGCGGCTCTCCATGACCCTGACTCTCCACCCACCCCACCATCAAATGCCTTTCGCACCCTCGTTCATACATCTGCTCCCAAACAAAAATCTGGGGGTATTCCTAGGATACATGGTCTCCATCAAAGGTCAGTTGATATGCATCTTAACAAGAGGAAGAAGGCCTTTTCCAGTGGCCTGCCTGGCCCATCAGTCTCTTCCTCCTTCTCAGGCTTCTTTTAGCCTCTTTGTAGCATCTTTTGCTAGCTTTTTGAGTATTGGAAAACAAAATTGAATAGCAAGTAAACAAACACTTGGTGGTCTCCTCTGTGGCTTGCAATGAGCACCGGCTGTGCAGGCATGGGTGTGCTTCAACTGAAGCAGCTTTGTGACAAACCTCAAGTTCTGCACCCCCAAGAGAAAAAAAAAGTGTGATGTTGCAGGGCTTAAAAATGAGAGGGGAGGGACAGGATAAGATCAAATGCCCCCCCCGTTTTTGTCCCCTGCCTGGGTCTCCTGTGACTGGTTAAAAATGCAACTGAACCACTACATCTCTGAGACAGGAAGAGATAGACCGTTGAACATTTATTTTTTTCTTTCAGCTATCATCCTGTTGTTAAAAACATGAGAGAGAAAGGGAGGAAGTAATTTACAAGTCCATGGTTGTGTCATTTTGTTTTGCTTCGCTAGTGTGTTGGGAAGACATCCAGCTCTTCAGATGCTTAGTGGTACTTCTTGTCTTGATCAGCACCTGTTATAGAAGCCCCTCCATCGCAGCCAGGGTCCATCTAGTCTGCAAATGCTCTGTGTTTTCCTGCCTTTAAAGGTCCCTGCCCTTTGTCGAGAAGGAGGTCAGGGGAAAGAAGGGATTCATCCAGTTTCCGAAGAAAGCCGCGGGCAGAAATACTGGGGGGGGGGGGGAGCAGGAAGGGCTGCCGCCGCATGGGGCCAAGTGCCAGCTAATCCAGGAGGATCCGATGCAAAGGAGATCATGGGGACCCTGGCGCTTCATCGCTGCACGGGGAAGGGGCTTCCTGACGTCCGAGGCGCCAGCCCTAGAGGGTCGGCCTTTCACGCCCCCTCTGCGGTCTAGAGTCCCTCTCGCAGGGACGCCGCCGGGAAGCGCACCAGCGAGACGCGCGCCGGCTTCCGCGCGCTCCGCGGGTCCCCGGGCTGAGGCAGGCGGCGCAGAGCTTCCCGCAGCGGAGCGGAGCGGATCCGCGGCCTGCTTACTGCACGCTCGGGAGCGTTGGCGCCTTTTCGACGAGCGCCTGCCTCCCGCGCTCGCGCCCAAGGGCTCCTCGGACCTGGCTGCGCCTCCGCCTCCGCCGCCGGCCCCCGCCCCCCGCCGCGCATCCGCCCGCAGGGGCACTCCTCCACCCGCCTCTCCGTGCCGCTGCCGCGCTCGCCGTTCTCCGGCCAGGATGACCAGCGGGCTGCAGGTGCAGGACAGGTGAGTGGGCAGCCCCGCCGAGCCGTGGGGAGCTAAAAAGCGATGGGGCGGCGGCCTCCGCGCGGAGCCAGCCCCCAGGGGCGAGCGCTCAGCCCGGCTGGTCCAGGGCACGGGGTCTGCGTGCAGGCCTTGGCCGAGGAAAGGTGTGTCGCGCCCGCGCGCGCGCTCTCCCGGGCTGCGCTCTGTCTCCGGCGCGTGGCTCTGCCGGGAGAGGGCGAGGGTGCCCGGGCCGCCGGGCTCGGCAACAAAGGGCGCCATTGCAGGAGGCATGCAAGCGGAGCGGGGGAGAAGGAAGCAGGGCGGCGGGAAGCGTGCATGGCGGTTCCCCATCGCCGCAAGGGATCGCTGCCTCCGGAGACGATTCGGGCGGCTGCATGGAAAGAGCTGTTTACAGGACAGAGGCGGCTTGTAGCGGGGCGAGGTGCGCGCGCGCGCGCTTGCTTTTCTTCCCTCTCTGTGTTTGTGTGTGAGAGACCCTCCTTTGTACCCCAACGTCATGATGCAGCTCTTCGTCTCAGTTAGGACAGCTCCTGGCAGAGTTTCCCTTGCGTCCCCACCCACCCCCCACTTCATGTTCCCGGAAGGCAGGAAGGATCCCGTTCTGAAGGAACGAATTGATTTAGTTTAACTCATCTCTGGCTTCTAGCAGATCCTGCAGAACAGAATGTCCCAAATAGGGCATCACTGGCCTGTTCTTACAACCTGTGAGGCAGGGTGTCCACCTTGCATCTTCCATCCTTTCCCTTGTGCGTTCTCCACCATCTCCTGGATTGTGCTAGCTGGGGATGATGGATGGTGTTGCCCAACACAGCTGGATGGCACCGAATATTCCTGCCTTGGCACTTTCTGCTCTCAGTTTCATCAGGAGTCGTTTCAGTTCATTGCTGCTTTCTGCTAGTAGCATGGCATCGTCTGCATACCTTAAATGAGCGAGGTGTGTCTTTCACCAATTTTCACTCCTTGCTAATCCAGCTTTCCTTATGATCGCTGTCCATTAATAGCTGAACGTTGGTATATTGCCAGTTGAATGAAATCATTTGATACCATTGTTCCCCACTCTTAAGCAGAAGGAAGTGGGTCATTTGCAGCAGGCTTTTCCTGCTGCCCCCTCCCTCCCGAACTGCAGGAGTGGATTACAGCAAATAGTGTGGGTTTGGGAAAGACTAGACAAGAACTTGGTGGGGTCATCCTACAATTCTCATCAGTGACCTCAAGCTTAAGCAACTGAAACAAGGAGTACTTCCAGTTGGAGAGCTACCAATTAGAAGACATTCAGTGGATTCACACTACATCTGGGGAAAGTAAACTGGGCATTGTGGCTAAAATTCCGCTGTACCTGATGGAGGATTGGGCACAGCAAGGGCAGAGTGCCTTCTTCCTTCCTTCCTTCCTTCCTTCCTTCCTTCCTTCCTTCCTTCCTGGTCCCCCTGACAATGTGCCGGGGACCAGGAAGCAAGGATTACAGTTGACACAAAGGCAGCTGTTAGAGGATTCCTGTTTGTGCCTTCCTTTTGTTCTAAAGTGGTGCTGGTCACCTGAGCTGCATCTTTGAGGGGCAGAGGAAAGAGATGAGCTGCCTCCCACTGGCCTTGTGGAACCAGCCTATCTTTTCCTCCTTCATGTCTTGTCTGTGGCAAGAAAAGAGAAGATACTGGAAAATATGGGAAGGTTGCAAGTAAAATTATGTGAATGGGACAATGTGTTTACCCAATATTATAATTGAGAATGAGGAAAGAAGTGTGGGTATTGCTAAAAAGGTGCCATTAGATAGAAAACACACTTCAAGTTGGTATTGCGTAAAAGGTATGTGCATGCAGTACTTTGCAGAAAGACTCACCTCCCTTTAAATTTTCCATATTTATTGTGTTACAGCCTGGACTTGAATTGCATTTAACTGACACTGTTACCACTTGATGTACAGATACTCAGCAGAATACTGTGCATGTGTGAAATATTTTACTCATGGTGCAAATGTGAAGTAAACAGCAAACTGGCGGTCGCTGGTTGCATAAATATTAACCACTTCGTTGCCACATGTCTAAATCAGCTTTGGTGCAACTCATTGCCTCCAGAAGTAATGTACTGTAAGAACATGAATGGGGCCACCTGTGTGTAATTCTGGGACTGCATGAACTCAGATGAAATACACCTGCTTCTGGAAGGCCCTTGGGCTTGCCAGAGAGTTATTTTAAAAAACAGCAGTATGTAGACAAAGGAGCAAACAAAGCAACTCTAGGATGATGTTGTGCAGAATCACCAATCCAGGGTTTGGTCGTAAAAATATCCCAAACAATGAACGTTTCCCCAAGCTCTATTAGATCCATTGTTGCACAGTGCAAAATATGGCTCACCTTCAACTCTGCCATGTTGACTGGGACTAATGGGACCTGTGGTCCCCAGTATCTGAAGGGTACCATCTCAGGGAAGTTTGGCTTATTGAGTGCTGTCCTTGGCCATTAAAAAAAGCTGTTTCTTGGCCATTAAAAAAAGGAAAAAGTACATAGGTTTCAAATAGGTTTCTAAAGTTCTTCTGTAATTTGAGCCCTGATTGGTGTGTATGTGCATTCATATGTATGAGTTAGGCTTCCTCATTATCACTGCAGGCAGAAGGATTATGCCTATTGGTTTACATTAAGGTTCCTCATAAAACCATTTGAAGCAAAGATATTGCATGAATCAGAGTTACGTCATTTTGGCACGTGCCTGACCTGTTTCTTCACATAATACATAGACGATTGACAAGTTTCCTATTGTATAACCCGGTGCTGCCTCCCTTATTCTGAAATAGAAATGGCCACACTGATAGCCTTTGAAAACCAGCAGAGGCTCTATGGCATTTTCAGAGAAAACAAAATTATGTACTATTTGGTTTAACTGAGTATTACTTTGTTAGACACATGAAATCTGGAACTTGATAAATTCTATGCAATATGCAGATGGAGAAAAACAATTTCATACAAGAAGGATCACATCTCGTGTGCTTTGAGAGTTAGGCAGGTTCTAATATCAAGGAGAAAAGCAATAAAGGGCACTGATAGATTAATCACAGAGGTTGTCCTCTGCTGGTTGGTTCACATGCTAACTCAGACAATGATTCTATCGATACAGAGGAAGATCAGGTGACTACACCATTCCCCACTGCCTATATGAATGAACGTGATAATGATTTGTTGTACATATGCATTTGTACAGGTAGGAGTCCAATTCATGTGTTCATCTCTCCTGCAAAAGGAGAGGCAAAAAGTGGGCAGTGCACGCATGATCGCATGGGTTTGTCATTCCCACCATCCATTGCCCTGCACATGCAGGGATAGGGAGAGTGTGTATCACATCTAGCACTTTGCCATATAGGTAGCGTCCTTGGCTGGATGAGTTCACATGATAAATAAAGGAACTTCAGACTTCCAAACATTCTAATCCTACTCCCTGTCCAAACATTGTTCTGAAATAAAAAGCTTAATAATCTGAACTATATCATCAGCATACATTGTCTTTTCAAGGGCTTCAGCTAAGATATTGATACACGAGCCACATTTTTAAAAAAAGCTGGAGTGGATTGAGGCTAGGACATATTTAGAATAGAAACAGACAGGAAATCTATTGGACTTAAGCTGTCCTGTTGATTTCACTGGGTCTAACACAAGTATGGGTAAGTTTGGATCTCATCCTCTAGATTTAGCAATCTAAAAGCACAATCCAGAGCAGCTGCCCAAAGCCTTAAGAATTATGGGAACCCAATGGAAGATAAAAGGAGCGTGGCCCCTGTGATATGGCCTCTCCCACTCAGTGAAACACTTGCATGGCTGATTTCATCTGTTTCCCCCCTGCTCAGGAGAAGGAGAGGCTGAAGCCCTGCTGGGATACATCATAGTCCTCTGGTGCCTCACTCCTTCCTTCCTTGACTCTCCAGTGCTAGCTCCAAGACCGGCTCTCTTTCTTGTGGCTGTAGCTGACATAGGAAGAGCTACACTGGCTGCAAGGATGGAGGAGGGAGGTTGGAGGGCAGAATTTCAGCTGGGACTTTGGAAAGTGCTTCCAATTCTGGAGGTGAGACTCCAATGTCTGCTGTGGCTGTCTAGCCAGCATCTAACATCCGTAAGATTGTGCTCTAAATAGTTTATTATAAGTATAAATAAATATTTCATTCTGTATAAAAACATGCTCAATATATTAGTATTAATTGGGATGCTAATAATGTTTAATAGAGATAGACACTAGTAGCATAAATGCACATACACATATTGATAAAACTGTCATTAAATATGATTATAAGTAATAGTAATATTATTAGCAATTAGTATCAATAGTACTATTACTAATGTTTCCAATGCACAATTAAAAATATAGTAAAATCACACAATATTAAAACAATGGTTATACTTAATCACATCATTGGAATAACTAAAAATTAGTCAAGATGCTATATGACTAACAGTGAATATTCCTAGTTGGGGTGTGTAGAAATAGTCAATTATCTCAATGCTTATAAATCTAGTACAGCAGACTCAAAATTCAGTATTATCCTCATGTCATTAATGTTATTCTCTTTGCAGTTAAAGATGCCCCAGATAAAAACACTTTTTGTTTGCTGTTTGACATACTCCTTACTGCAGTTATTTTTAATATAAAAGATGAAAGAGTTACTAGTCTTGGGATTCTGAATTTAAAGTGCCTTTTTCCATATTTCTGCACATTGTTGTAACTATTATGATGGATAACAGAGTTGTGTAATGGCCTCATCTGCAACTGAAAAACAATGCTATCTAGCCACAAAACAGATGCAGGAAAACAGTCTTTCCTTTCCTAGAAAAACACAGGAAAAAAACAGCAAAAAAACAAACAATCCAGTAGTGACTGGGGAGTTTGGAAGCAGAAACTCCAATGATTACAGAGTCCTTGGCCATTCCCCTCCCACCCCCACCCCCAAAAATGCTCAATACACACTGCTTTGCAGAAGTATTTTCATACACCATTTGACCTGTCCACATTTTGTTCTGTTGCAGCCTGCAAGTGAACTAGTTTTAATTGGCAGTGTTACCATCTTGCATACAAAGTATTTTTATTGTGGCACAAAAGTAAACAAGAACAAACTGGCAAATTCTTGGTTGCATAAATATCCCCCCTCCCTTGCTGAGACATGTATAAATCCCTTTTTGTGCAACCTGCCCCTAGAAGCCTGATACCGTGTACGGTAGAATAGAGTTCACTTATGTGCAATTCTACCGCCACGTGGTCTCAGACTGAATAAACCTGTTTCTGGAAAGCAACAGTGAAGACCAAGGAGTGATCAAACCAGCTGTGGGATAAAGTGCAGAAGCATCAATCAAGGTTGGATTTTTTTTAAACCCCAAAATATAAACATCTCCTGCAACATTGTTAACACCATTATTATAAAATGGAAAAAATAGAGCTCAACTGTGAATCTTCATAGAGAAGGCCATCCACCAAAATTCATTGACTGGGTAAGGAGCATATGAGTCACATGATCAACCAAGATGCCAATGAGGAGCTGGGAGGAGCTGGAATGATCTGCAGCTGAGATGAGAGAAACTACCCATGGGCCAACTCTCTTCAGGACGCTCTACAAAGCTGGGCTTTATGGAAGAGTGGCAAGAAGAAAGGCAATGCTGAAACAAACCCGTATCAAAGCCTGCTTGGAGTTTGTAAAAAGGCTTGCAGGAGGCACAGTACAAATTGTGGAATTTGCCAGAAATTAGGGAATTCTTTAAAAGGAGAGTTTTACTGTGCACCTGTCATTTGCCACTCACAGTTGTTTACAGGTGCTTTAGGTGTTTGCTGAATAAAACTCTTGCTAAAAGAATAGGCTTCATGGTGCAGCAGCACCATTATCCCTTAGCACAGAAGACATGTAGGAAATGGACGTCTGCAGGGTGGCAACTCTCTCACATATATGGACAAAAAGGAGATCATTGGGGTTAGAGTTATATGCTGGCCTGGCATACCATGATCAACAACTGCAAAAAAAAAAAAAAAAAAAAAAAGTGGAATTGTAGAAATATAAGCTGCCTGACATGTATTTGGGTGTGAACCCTCCTTGTGGCCCAAGCCAGAGCAGTTCCACCCTTTAGCTGAAGCCTGCTAATAAAACTTGTTTGTGTCTACATTGTGTTTCCAATCCCCTCTTGAAATGATGAAATTGACCAGAGTCCTCTCAGGAGAAGAACCTAGTGGTATATTTACCCAATATCATCCTCTAGTTTTGGAGACCTTTTAAGGTGGAAAAAATCTGGTATTTTTTGGCATTGCAAAACCAATTGACTCTCAATTGACTCTCAACAAGTATTTGTGCTATTCTGTTATACCAAAGTACAAACCAGAAGTTATGTTGCAGAAAATGCAAAAATAATGAAAAGGAAAGAAAACTTTTTGTGTAGCGATATGATATAAATTCAGCCAATGATTTGGAAGCAAAAGTAGCAGCTTGAACAGCCTTATCTAGAAAAATTAATGGGCAGATAAATGCTTTGGAAAATACCGTTGTACAAGTGAATCAATATTTGGCAATGTTGCAAAGTTGGTTTAAAATAGATTTAAAATATCAGTTTAAAGAATAATGCAATTGAAATGAAATGTAACAAGAATGCTGATGCAGAAACACCCTATTGCTTGCTCATTTGTTATCTCATTGAATGCCGTCACATAAACTGTTACGAACAGTTAACTAGAAGCAAAGGAAAACCATATGCCTAAAAACTACCATCACATCTCCAAAATTTGCATCATGATTTGCCATAGCGAAACACGGTTCCATTCATCCAACACATTAAGAATATGTCCATTATCAGATCTTGGGCTTCGGTGGGATCCATCATCAATGTTTCTATATTTGGTGATTTCCTTGCATCTAAGAGTCTTCGAAGGCTGCTTAAAGCTAATTAGGAGCTCACTATGGTTTTTTTGGTCTTGTAAAAAACCTATAGGCAGAAAGAAAGGGTGAATGCTGCAGTTCAAACCATTTTCTAGCACTCTAAGCTTAGGCCTCATAAGGGTTTATCTGCATGGGTATTTCTGCCTGCTATTTAGAAGCGCTATAGAGCTGACCTATGAGATCAGGACTGCAGGACCCGGCCTTCAAGGGTCAAATACCATTCCAATCCATCCTGTGCTACAATTACTATCTTGCTTTGAATTACTGCAGATACGTAAATTGTGGATTATTCATGTTACATAACACTTGTGTTCATTCACTTACTATTGAAATTGAACTTAGGGATTTCCCGATCAGCAAGAGTTTAAACAAAGCCACATGTTGATTCTGCTGAACTTCTGCTAAACTTCCCTCCCTTTTCTAATGTTGCTAGCACAAAATTTGGGTTGTGGAAGCCATAGGCAGAATCTGCATATCAACCCACCTAAACAAATGTCTCTTTCATAGACTTCTGTCATTAATCTGTTGGTGACAGTATAGCTTTTTGTGACAGACAGCACAAAAGCGTTCTAGTTTATGAATAAATGTATTCATGCTTAATTGTTGAGATTCATTTTAACAATTATTTAGTGCTCCAAAAAGGATACAAAGGGTGCATAATTTAGATCTGTAGCAACAGAAATATTAACATGTTCATTATTTTATTTTCAGTGAATCTGATGTTTCAGTTTTGGAAGATACAGGTAATGAATTTTTTAAAGCCTACCAGTCTTAAACATACATCCATACATACATATATTAAAGAGGAAGTAACTCCTTTGAAGTATGAGTGAATCTTGTTGGGAAAGCTGAATTAATGCTCTAATAAATTTTGCTATTATGAAAAGTTAATTTTGTTTTTCTCACTTTTTATCATGGCTGTCTCTTCCACAACTTCTTGTTATCTATTCCTTTCAATTTATTTGAGTTTAAGATACAATTTTGAGAGATGTTCCCAATCATTGTTATCTTCAAAATGATACTTCAGGAATTAATGGTCCCATAATTTCAAGCAACAATTTCTCAGGCTTGATGAGTTGATGTTTTCCACCATTGTTCTCCCAGAGATTTAATAAGACAGCACTTGTCTTAAAAAGAAGATGAAGGAGAAAATAAATGCTTGAATCCAAACTTGCTTCTGCTGTTGGGAGCACTTCCTGGAAGGCAGTTGCCGCCTGTATTATTCTGGAGGATCCCAAACCTCAGGAAAAAAAATGTACCAGGAGGGCCAAGTTCTTCACTTTATCCCATTGTTATGATTAGACATTTTCCCCAAACCTCTCTCTTCCATGTTCAGCTTGCACAATCCATTCCATTTTTAATAAAGATTATCTTGCTTCTCTTCTCTCCTGGCTCTCTCTTTATTCTTCCATTCCATTTAAACTTATTTTATTGACCCAAATGCCATCATTTTCTTGCCTGCATTGATTTGCCTATCTCTTTCTCTTGTTGCTTCTTTGGAGCACAGAGGCATTCCTCACACCAGGTAAGTATTTGTCCATCTAGTCCAGTATTGTCTAGTGCCCTTGAGAAATGCTGCTACCCAGATGAGGTCAGCAGAAATAGCAGAAGTGAATGTTGTCCTGTTCTGGAAAAAGGCGTTTCAAGTCATTTCCAGGGTTGATTTAGGAAGTGTTACTAGTTGTGGTTCAATATCAGGGTTCAATATGATCAGTGCAGATGCATCATCATGATTGGATACTGCCCATTCCCTCCTCCTGTGTAACTGATGAATTCAATGAAGAGCTTGCTTCCTATCCGCAGAACTGCGTACCCAGCAATGTAACGCAGGCCTTTTGCAAATGATCTAAAGAAGCTTTCTGAAGAACCATTTATCACCACAATATTTCATTTGGGAAGGGTGAACAGTTCTTTAATCTTTTAAAAACCAAAAGCAAGCAAGCAAGCAAACAAAAGCAGCTTCCTCCCAAGAACCCCCTTTGTCTCAAATTTGCTGGATCAAGACCAAAGGTCTGTCCAGTCCAGCAACTGGTTTCCACAATAGCTAGCCAAGTGCCTCCAATAAGCTGGGATGGATGGACAAATCAGTCTATTTCTGGTTCCTAGCAGTCTGAAGTTAGCACATGAAGTTATCATCTCATCTTTTCCCTATCCTATTGTTTTGTATGTTCTGTTTGTTTGCTGTTTTTTTCCCTGCTAGGAGCTTCCTCCATGAACTTCAGGGTGTTGTATATGGTCCAAGTTTATCTTCACAAACATCCTGTGAGGTAGCTTAGGCTGAGACAGAGTGCCTCAGTGAACATCGCATAGTCAGTTTCAGTTCTCCAGTCCCAGATAAGCGCTGTGATCAACTATCTCAATCATGACATCGGTTGAGACATGTTACTTCTCACATGCTTTACTGCAGCTTCTATATTGCTGTCAGCTATTTTCACTCAGGCTTTTAAATTGGTTTTATCAGTGTATTACGGCTAACCCCATGCAGACCTAATTTATCTCCTAAGATTATTTTTTTAAATTGCAAATGACAGTCCAACAGCAACAGTATTTGCATGCTGTTTTTGTAGGTGTCACAAATTACTTGTACCTCAGTTTCATGCATCATAAAATGCTTGCCTTGCATACAAGCAGATATGAGAACAAAATTTGGGTGGTTATACTGGTTGCATACAAAACACACTGAAGATCCTGCAAACTTACGAGGGCTTTACAGGGCATTTTTCCTTCCTAAGAATCCTTATTCATTCGGCCAGAATTATTACAATTTTGCATTATTCATGAACCTTGTATAAAGCTGAAATAAACATCGAGTATAGTGGGAAATTCTCTGGCAGATTCTCCTTGGCTGAATTTGTTTGGAGAGAATTTGCATGTTATATTTGAAGTGTGCAGTAGGGATTTCCAGTGACATCGTCTCCTGTTAAGTCCTTAAAATGCCTGGTGATTTAGATGTTGTAGCGTCAGCTCCCCTGCCATACACGCGCCGTCTTCCCTACGCGGTGCTGCGTGATCCTCCAGAGAACAAGTGCAGCGCAGTGCTTAAGAGTGTACAGTATAAGCCACAGTTTGGGTCCTGCCATAATCCTTAAAAAACTTTGAATCAATGTTTGTGGGAACGCTTTCCCTAGGAACTAGTGCAAACTCTCCTGTCATCCTGGTATCAGGCATAAGACTTTTTATTTGCTTGGACTTTGACCTGTAAGCTAGCTATTGGTTTTGTTTTATCTATTCTGCTAAATATTGTTACTTGCTTTTAACAGCCTTTCTGCCTTTTAACTGCCCGGTTACTGTTGCTATTGTATTTATGGCTGAGTGTGGTGACTTGGTTTGCATGAAATAACAATGCATGGTGTCATGCGCCCCATGTGCATGTGCATGTGACTTGATAGTTCTGCTCTAAATCATTTGCAAGTTTTACAAAGGTATGATGTAATACCTTTACATTACTGTAAAATACTGTAAAATAAATTGGGCCCTCTATCTGGTGGCCTTCAGATGTGTTGGACTACACCTTCCATTGTGTCCATGCTTGTTGTGAATTATGGAAATTGTAGTCCTACATAGTGGGCAGCAGCCTTCCAATATCTCAGAGCTTTCCCCCCTTCGCTGCTCCTGATTTCAGTGGGAAAAGCACAAGGTACCTTCTGGCCACTGATGATCTTATCTGCCCATCCCTCCTGGCCCACCTTCTTGGTTTCCAGTCTTGTACTGGAATGCAATATTGTAATCACTTTTCTAGTGATATCATCAGGTAGATTATTCTGTGGCTTTGTTTTTGTAATCCATGTTTATGTATTTGGTGTTTTCTCACCTGAGCTATCATTTCCTATAGTGGTTTGCAGATGCATCCAAGTTGGCTCTTGCAGATCCTTTGGCAGAATGATGGCACTGAGAGAGCTAATGCCTTATCTGTGAAGATAAGGCCTAGTAGCCAGTTCTTAATTCCACAACAACATACAGTGTTATCTTAGCCTCTGCTTAGACCCATGTATGGGCCATTTACTGCCACCCTGTTTTGGAGATGGCTGCAGAGTACAGGCTCACAGAATGTGAGCTGGAATCATTTCTGATCTAATGCATCTGGGCCAGAAGGATTTTTTTTTTGCTTTAAACTTGGTGTGTGTTTTTATTTGTTTAATACTAATTTTAAAAAATATATCATTCTCATCTGTTACTTCTTGCCCGCAAAACAGATGGTTACAATTCTGAAGATAAAGATGAAGAATCTGTTCAAGAAAACAATTTGGGTAAAGAATCATCTTACTGATAAATACATTTTTAATGACTGTTGAAAGCTGCTGCCAGATTTAAAAATGTTGCTTTACCTGTGAAATTTGGTATCTTGGTTGTTCCTAAATTTTGAACAGCCCTATTTTTGTAGCATGTTTTTATTTAAATAAAAAATGTCAACCTAAAATTTCAACCTGTTTTTGTAGCTTTTCAGTTTAGGGATTGGTTTTATCCTCAAGGCATTACAAGATTCCTTAGGAATTTTGACAGAACCAGTTTTTTTTTACTTTAACAAATGAAATTTTATGGATTGGATTAAAAAAACTGTAAGTGGAAAGAGAAAAACTATTAATAGCATTTCAAAAACTCTTGATCAAGAAGCAATGGTAGACTTTTCACAGAGGAGAGCATCCTCAAGCTACGGCCCATGGGACGGATCTGGCCCGCCATGGCCATCCATCCGGACCATGCTCGCTTGGAGATGGTCTCCAAGCGAGCAAGCCACTGCCATCGCTCGCCACTGCCTCACACCACGGGCGGGGAGGTGGTGGCTCGCTTGCTCGGAGATGGTTTTGGACTCACAGGGAGATCTCCGAGTGAGCGAGCCACCGCTGCGAGTACCCAATGCTGCCTCGTCTGCGCCTGATGGCACCTCACCAGCCTGGACCCCCACCTCACTGGCCCATGACGGTCACTGCAGCCTTTCAACTGGCCCCCTATTCAAAAGTTTGAGGACCCCTGTAGTATAGTGTAATGAGTGAAAGATCAACCTAATGTGACTCTAAGTGCATCAGTAGAAACTATGCCAGGTAATAATAATAACTTGTACTGGAATGCATCATCATCATCACCACAGGTGTGTTTATTTGCCATGTTTTCCCCATTTGGGCCTGTAGCACATAGCAAAGGTTTATTCCTTCCTTTGCCAGCCACAGTCAGAATGAAAATTGCACTCCTGCGTAGCCTTAGGGGGAAAATCCCACTGGTGTGGGATGCAGCTGTAGTGATCACAGCCAAGAAGAGAATGATTAAGCTTCTCATCCCTGTGTACTGCGATCCTAGTGAAAATTGCCTGCTCTAAGATGTGTTATGAAATCTAAAGACACCCAGCTTTCATTTCTAATTATGTTTCTAGCATCACATTTAATTTGTCCTAATAAGTAAAATATAGGTTGCAGTGTATAAAATCTAGTAGGACAGAGAAAGGTCTTGAGAATGAGCTTGTGCAAGGTCTTGCATAAGAACTTGAATAGGTAGAAACCTATTTTCTCAGGTACTCTTCTTTTGCTAAGTTGGAAATAGGCTGTTGCCCAAGTGAAAAGGTACTGTAGATTCTACCATTTGTTATGGTCTCACCAGTACTGTTAAAAAAATAATTTAATGCTATTAAAGTTATTACTTTAAAATGGTCAAGTCTAATGGAGTCTTGTTTTGTGAAGGTAATGGCAGTTCCGAAAGCGACAAAGAAAGCTCCTCTGAAAGTGACTCTGGTCAGTAATTTTATTGAAGTAAATCCTATAGATAAATAACAAACTCATTTTCTCTGTGTGGATTCTTATGTAGCCAAAATAGTATCATCCAAGCATAAAAGAAAGGTATCAGCTAGCTAGGGGCTACACCAAGGTTTGCAAAATGCAGCAAATATATAGAAGAAAAAAACACTGAGGAGGAGCACCTACCATCAAGAAAGACCCAACTGAGCATGCTAAGCTGCATAGAGTGCTGGATGGCTTTCTAAATGTTGAGGGGGGAAATGGAAAATGGAAAGAGTTGAGGGGAATGTCTCTCTGTCTGTGCCTGGCTGGATGCTTCAACAGGAGCTCTTCACAACACATTTTCTTGCAGGTTCCTCTTGTTTAAATTCTTTAAAACAAAGTTTATATGCTCCTAAAATTAGAGCAAGAACAACCATCTGTTATGTATACAAGCCAGTTGTTTGCCTCACTAAGTCATTCCTTTGTTGCATTCAATTGTGTATTTTGTTTCCATGGCAAACTGTATTGTATCACAGACCTAATTACTTTAAAAATTGGCGCTTTGTGTCAGGGTGATAATACCAGCAACAACAGGCCATAAATATACTTAGAAACTGGCAGCAAAAGTGGCAAAACAGGAAGGTCAGGAAAAGAATTGGAGGAAATGGCCACTGTCACTGAGTGCAGCACATATGTTAATATCCCTACACCTATTTCTTATTTTAAACAAATGCACATTGTGGTTTCTATATCAATAATCAGGCATTTCTGTTTACAGATACAGAAGAGGGAGACACAGACGAAGCAAGTGAGTGTTCTTTATTTTATCTTATTTTATCGTTGATTGCATTTTTGTGAATGGGTAAGATACTGTGAGGTTTTCAGGCAGTCAGAAGGGCACATATAAATGAAATGGTACATGGACTTGAGTGTTTGTGCTAAATGGAACCGTGTTCAAAAGCCATCCAGCCCTTAGTGAGAAGGGAGAAGGGAAAGGTTAAAATCCTTCCACCCTAGAGTTCAGGTCCAGATTGGGTCCACCAAGACTACCTGGAGTACAAATTGAATGAAAAAAACTTCTAAAGGGAAGCTGAAATTTAGGCTTGTTTAGACTCTAATACAAAGCATAATGGTACACAATGAATTTTAAAACAATGAAGCCAAAAGCAGTTTTCCAAGGGTTTCTGATATGACTTTGGATTACTATGGGATCATTCAAAATGTCATCTATCGGTGTCTGAGGAAAAGTACATGAATTCATTCTTATTTTTAACATATTTATTATTTACAGATGCAGACCTGGAAAAGAAAGAACCTCAACTGCATAGTGCTGAATCAGGTGCAATACCTTTCTCATAAAAAATTGTAGGATTCTTTTAATAACGTTCAGTTTAAGACGTCTTGTTTTCTCCTTTTGTTTCAATTTAGAGACTGACAACCAGCAACACTGCGAGCATTGCAAGGTGCAACAAGTAGGTTTGAAATATTCAAAGAGAATTTTGTGTGGGTGGCTGTTTCACAAAGAAAGCACTAGTTGCATAATGGCTCCAGGACTTGCGGATTATTCCATTTGCAGGGACCCTGATGTCATCCCCACCCCACCCAGCTCAGCTGCCAGTTTCACAAGGTTTTGGGAGGAGGGAGGGATCCTCTCAACACTAATATATTATTCCCTGTTGCAGTGCAAAGTCATTGGAGGGGCTTGGCCCTGAATGAACTAATAAGCACCATTCATTTTACAAAAGGCCTATCCTGGGGGAAGTGAAAACTGTTAGAACTGGTTTCTTCCCAGGGTTTCACACAGCTGCCTGCAGTTTTGATCTCTCCTTGGGGTGTGGCTGTGGGACTGTCTCAGTGAGTGTCTGGACCTCAAAATGCTGGGCAATGTAGACATTCCACTAATGTGTTTTTCAATGTCTTTTAAAGGAGCAGCAGGAACAAGTAACCCCCAAAAGACTTGCCAGAGGACAGCTCCGGTGGGTTGTGTCCTGTATTATTGGACTACAGGCATTTGTAATTTTTGGGGGGTTGGGTGGGGAGAGAGGAACATGTGCACACGTACATCATTGCTGATTTCCAAATTTGTGCTCTTGTGTGGAGTAGGATGTTCTGATTCTGCTCTACACCTTCCTCTCTGTATCTCTCAAGCAGCTGGAAAAGGGAGGTAAGCAAAGTCTCATCTTTCTTTGCTTTGTCCCTTGAAAAGTATGGCTGGGGAGAAAACAGGAAGAGGAAAGGTACAGCAAGAAGGTCTCTTCTTTTTGCCAGTAGTCACAGATAAGGGGTTTCATGTACCACAGTGATTGTGGGCTGCTGTTTTTTTACGACTGGACCATCTACATTTTAAAGTGGAGCCATGACAAGGCAGGATGCATTTCCTAAGGTTGTGAAAAGTCAAGGCTACTTCTTAAAATGGGAAAAAAGAAAGCCACTGCAATAGTCTGAAGCTTAACCGTACAATAATAAAGCATATCTTACATGCATTCACCAACGACACTGTAGATAAGAAAAACCAAGACATGAGTAGGGACCGTGGGGTCCCCCAAATGTTGAAGTCCAGTTTCCATCAGCCATAGCTAACATCGGGTAATGGAACTTGAAGGTGAACAACAGCTGGAAACACACAGGTTCACCATCCAGAACTATGTGCAGCATAGTTTTAAGAGACCAAGGGTGCATTCATATACCTGCTTACACAGAAAAAAGGCCTATAACTCCCAGCATGTCCCAGCCAGACTCGTGGAGCATGCTGGGAGTTGCAGGACTCTTTCATGTCTAAACAGGCAGAGGATTGTGCCTGAAACCAAAGATTATAGAAAGCTAGAAGTGCAATATGTAATTCTGTTAATGATTTATTTTGGTAGTGGATGAGACAAACCTTTAACCTTTTTTTTTGTAAAACAACAACAACATCAACAACAACAGGGCACCTTCACTATTTTGTTTGGACAAGGAACTCTATCAAGAAAACAGCTTCCTGTTCATAGGAGTAAGAACTGTGATAATTTCAGTGTTCTAGTCATGTGTTTTTTGCATGTATTTGTAAGGGGGAAAATAGAAAAGCAAAAACTTAACATTACTTGTACCGAACCATAAACTACACTTTATTTTTCACATACATAGGCTGAAGTTGGATGCTGAAGGAACTTATCAGTGTACTGCCACTGGCTTAATATTTGAAGTTACCAAAGCTGTTGTCATTGACTATTCTCTGTTGTCTTGGACCAAGTATGCTGCTTATGTTAAACATCCCTGGATTGTCGTGGGTCCTATATTTGATGTCAAATGTGCTTCACCCTTTGTGCTTAAGTCTATTCAGTTTCCACACACCCTCTGCTTGAAAGGTAAGGTTTGGTCAGTGAATTAAAACATATTTACATATCTGCACATTGTGACACATTTTAAAGAAAGTGTTATTATTTTGTTTTGCAGGCCATTTATCTGGTTTGACTTTTAAAGTATTCCATTTCAAAAATAACGGTCCAGAATTTGAGCAGCCAGTTGATCACTCAGCTACACACATCAGGTGGCAAGTGAGCTCACTATCTCCAGTTGGACCAGTAATTGAAAACTATAATCCAGTGTATTACCATGGGGTTGTTATGTTATACAAAGTTGTCAATGAACATCCTTCCTTGAAATTACGTGTGTATGTGGCTAGTAATAACAGCTCATTTCTAAAGGTATGGCAACTTCTTTGCTGACTTGTCTTTTTCATCTGTTTTGAAAATCTAAATTTAAATTATCTTCCATGCTCCTGATACATTGTGTTCTGTCCCAGTGGCCAGAGGAATTGCCAGCTCTTGAAATAAATAAATTGATGATAATGAGAAGAACTAGCAAGTGGCAGGAAGGGCCCAGTGGCAAGTTAGCAGATAAAGTACTTTGCTTGAGTCTATAACCCACAGAGTATATTTGCTTATCCAACACAGGGATACTGACTCTCTTTCAGCCTAGGAACTGAATTTCATTTAGCAGATGTTCTTGGAGCCCACTTTCCAATAGTAAAATGACTAAGCCCAAAGTTAAAATGAGCAGGGCTCCAAATACCAGCATATTTTAGTTCTTATTGCTTAGGAGAGGGATTGCAACTTTTTGGCATGGGTAAAAACTTCTCAAAAGCTGGTAAACCACCCGACAGCTGGTGGTTGGGGGAAGGGATATTGAGCTCTGGGAAGAGCCATGGACTTCAGGAAGACTCCAGAGGACTGCACTGAGACCCCAGGATTGGTACCTCTGATTTAGGGTTTACATGGATTTACATTAAAGAGACTTGTGACACCTTAAAGCTTAGCACATATGTTCTGATATAACTTATGGTGGGCAGTACTACTTAAATTTATAACTTCTGCCACCATCCAAACAAAATATTACCTCACCCCCATATTATTCAACACAATGCAGGCAACAACTGGGTCACCATCAGAAAGCAAGACTACATGCAAAGTTGATAACTCAGGTGAGCTCAGGTACAAGACAAACCATAAATGGACATAAACTCATGTCACACAGACCTTTGTGGGAGACCCAGTCCGTTGCTCCACGCTTCTCCCTGCCCCATGTCTCTCCCTTGAGCACTTGAGATGCATCCTGTCTGGCCTATGGCTAATCCTGTGCTACACTCGCAGGTGGTCCTGCACCACTCCAGGGCTCCATAGGCGTGCTGCCATGGATGCGCAAGCACAGGAGCAAATGTGGGCACTGGTTTGGTAGCAGGAGTGGCAAAATGGGCTTGAACAAGTGAGGCTCAGGGAACCAAGATTCAAGGTGGATGCCAGGAAGTACTTCCTGATGGTTAGGATCCCTAGAGTATGGAATGGGGTTCCACTGGATGTGGTTGAGGCCCCGTTGGTGAGGGTGTTCAAGGATAGGCTGGACACGCACGTGAAAGACATGTCATGAGCGGAGCTGGCTGCAGCCAGGGAACAGTCTAGATGGCCCAGAAGGCCCCTTCTGACTCGCTGTGTTTCTTTGTTTCTATCCTTCTTTGCAGCAGCTCCCCCAGCAATCCGAGTGAGCAAGCTAGCCAGCCAATCAGCCAGCAAGACCTGTTGTTGCAAGCCCTGTTCTGCTGCATTGCGGATACTTAGTTAAGGAAATTCAGGCACAGCATCTAAAATTGCATAGACCTAGTCCTAAAATCCCTGCTTCCCAGAGTGTGCGTGCGCAAAATAGAAATCTACAAAGATCCAGAAACGACTATTTTTAAACCACTGAATTCCATGCAGCTCCATTTTTGAATCACTGATTGGCACTCTATTTTTAAGCAGATTTACATCACCTTCTTGATTTCCATGGGACATATTAATAAATGTGTTTAGTATCTGAACCTAGTGGAACAATCTGCCCTGTGCTGTCATGATCTATTTCAGATGTTACAGTGATGTATCAATTTGAACTCTGCAGGTTCTGTAGCAAACACTATGTGCTAATTTGTTCCAAAAGTTAATGTCCTAGTAAGGCCCATGTAATGATTGAATTTCAGGGGCTGAACCAAGGAAGCACGGTAGACAGAAAATGGGGTAAAACTAATTTCTTGGTAGACTTAAAATGTTTGAACTAGATGAAATCTCAACGATATTTAAGTACAATTCTTCAGTCTGTTGAGTTGGACAATCAGAGTTAAAGACAATTTCTTTCACTTTTAGGATGTGTCAAAAATTGTAAGACATTCTATTGATAAATTCATAAAAATTGATAAACCTCCCTGTCATAAATTACTTCAAGGTGGAAAGAAATACAAATTAATGAGTGAACCAGAAGCTGAGATAACCCCTGAGGTATGTTTTTCATTCTTCTATAATTGGTTAGTCAATAAATTTGCCATTTTGTGAAAGATGCTATTATTTGCACTGCTGATTTTAAGACAGATATTATGTTTATAATTCAGCCCTGACATATTCAAAGATCATTAATATTGCATATGTACCAGATAATGTTTTAGAAAATCATAGAAGCTTAGTTTAAAAAAACCAATTTGCTTTGATGTTTAACTGGACTTTTAATAGCTTGATTATCAACTGTCTAGGAAATTCAGTTTGATGATGACTCTACAATACCACAGAAACCCTTTTTTGAGGTTTTTTTGGAACAGCCAACAGAACTGACATTATCTTTGATGGACTTGGCATCTGAAGAAATTGTGTGGAAAGCAAAGCTAAGAGAAAGTAAGTTCTCATTAGAAAAGCCTCAGGGCTTTCTCCAAGCTGGGAAGATGGGTGGGGGCGGGGGGCAAAGGAAAAAGAAAAAATGGGGGAATAGGAGCTACTTTTTCCGATGTCATCTGGCACATGAGCTGGATGCAACCCAGCCCCACACCTGCAGTACAGGTTCCAGGGACTTTGCTAAAGCTGTTCCTGAGTGGCTAGATTCTAATAAACTTTGGGGTGTTGGGTTCTTTTTGTTTAAAGGTTTTGCACAGATTCTTCTGGCATGAATATTAAAAGAGAAATACAATGGGAAATTGCTTTTAAATGTCTGACTAGGTTGCCATTTTCTGCAATATAGTCAGCAAGATGAAGCTTCTTTGGTGGTTAAAGTCATGAAGCAAAGGTAATTGTAAAAGCTCCTTTGACTTGTTTTGTTCATGCTTTACTGAAAAGGGGAAAATACTAATGCTTTTTTGTATGCGAGCTGTGGCATATTAGTTAGCAGTGCAGATTATTGTACAACAGGTTTTCATTTTCTTTTGAAAACATTTCCATTTAACAGGTGACTGGATCTTACCTAACCAGAATGGCAATAGACAGAGATCTATCAAGAGTAAGTCATTGTAAAGAGTATGAATGACACAATCTTTCCTGCATTTTATACATCTGTTCTTCATCTTTCTGTAATTTGCATAGGCAAAGTTCCCAGTGGGACCACAGATGTTTTGCAGCGCCCTAAAAGCTGCTTTCAACAAACACTTCTGAATTTAGCAAGGGGATAAGAGGGAGAGAATCAGCAGCCCGCCCTTCCCCCCATGCAAGCAGTAGGTGCCTCAGATCCAAATCCACATGGCCCTGTTTAGAAGGCACATCCAATTGCATGTTTTGATACTATATTTTTCTCCATTGATTCTTCAGGCAACAGAAGACGAAAATCCAGCACCAGTCTTTCAGAATATGAACATTGCAATAAACGCTTAAAGAGAAACAGCTCTTCCGGTGAATGGTTTCATGTGATTAAAAGAAATTAACATAGTGGCATTTTAAGTAGTCCATACTAAGAGATATCTGTTTTAGATTTTTGGATAATACATATGAAATTATTCTTTGAGCGGGAAAAATCATAGATTTGTGTTTGCACAGTTCTTTAGAACCTCCAATTTGAATGTAGAAAGAACTGTCAGAATGATCCATGCAATATGCCGTATTACTGCTGTCAATAGTTATCCACCAGGGGGAGATATTTGCTCATTTCAATACTTTTAAATGGAACATAATGGAGAGGTAACTTTAATCAGAAGTCCCAGCTGGAAGTGTAGGGATTATGAGTCACTCTCCATTATTTTATGTCTTTTGACAGTAAATTTATCTGGTGAATACCAATGGGATTATAATTAAAATGGGATCACTGAGAAACAAGAGGGAGGTAACGGTATGCTCAGGACAACCCACATTTGCAGGAGAACAAAATGCACTTAGAAAGAAAACCCTAATGGGGCAAAAAAAACCCTCCTGCAACAGACCCCAAACTGCTCTCTGAGGACCGAGCATGCTCAGCAGCCTTCTGTTGCCATTTCTGAGTGTTTGTGGTGGGGTTGTGGTGGAACAATGTCAGTACTTAACACCCCTCGTGGTAGAGCTGTGGAAGTGTGGGGTCCTAGGTTCATGGCTGCTCCATCTCTACCTAAAGGACCTCAGACAAGGCCTTTGCCAGACACCTTGGAGAGCTACTGCTGTTGGCATGAACTGGGGGTGCATTCTGGGACTCCCAATGCCATTCTCTGAAGTTCCCTAGAAGGCCACTCCTTTTTTCCGCAACAACCAACCGTTAGCGGTTTCCTAGGTTTTGTTACGTTTTCTCTATTCTAACAGGCCGAAATGCCTTTCCTTGGGCTTATTTCCTGGCAACAAGAGATTTAAGTTAAAATAGGCAGGTAGTTAGTGCCATCTCTTTTGCCGTCATCCAGACAATAAGTTCAAAAGAGGTTCTGCAGCTGGTGAGAGTTAGTGTGAGGCTTTGGATTGGGACTCAGGAGATCCAGGTTCTAGTCTTCAGTTGACCGTGAAGCTTACTGGGTGACTTGGGGCCATTCATTGACTGTCAGCCTAACCTACCTTTACTGTGAGAGTAAAGTGGAGGGGAAGGTCATGGACACAGGTGTGGATTCCTTGAAAAGAAAAAAGGCAGGATATCGCTATAATAAAAGAAGTTCATAAATGTGAATAAATAATGCAATTCAGAATAGCTATTTTAGGCTATTATTTAGGCTTTTATACGAACATATTTTTGCATTGTTTTATATTGCAGAAAAGTGGGAAATCTTTATCTTAATGATTTGATGAAGATTTGAATACTTGGAAATTTGGGCAAACTAGAAGTGCTGTTTGAACAGGGATAAACTGATGAGGGACATCATGGGAGAGAAAGTGTGAAACATATGATATGGATCTGGTTATGAGGTTCTTAATAAACAAATGTCAGATGTGTGTACTTTCCAGGTGGAAAGGTAAACTGGTCATCTTAGGATAGCTTCCAATGTGGCAAAGAAGGAGCAACACTTCATGTGTTGCTTTTCATGCTTTTGGGATAGCACTTGTATGAGGTGTGTGTGTGTGTATGTGTGTGTGAGTGAAGATGATATAATTGTCTTGAATGATTGTATTGCAAAATAAAAAAGTTATTGAAAAAGTTGTTAAACAAGGTAATTAAAACAGCAACAGAATTGCAATATACCAACATGGTGAAAAGCTAGGAAGCAGGCCACAGCTTGTTCTATTAAAGCAAATAGCTTCTTTTTTTTTAAAAAAAATAAATATAAAGTATCTTATCCTCTCTTCTCTTTACCTTTTCTTTCCTCCCAACATGTCCCTGATCTAAAGGGCCCCTTCACATGATAGGAGGAGATTTAGATCATTGACCAACTGCAGCAGAAGCTGGGTAGCTGGGAGGGGAACGGCAAGAAAACTTTAATTCCTTCTCTCTATGCACGTACTTTCTCTTCTGTCCCACCCTTTCCCTTTGCTCCAGGAAGAGTCATGGAATCGTAGTACCATAGCATGCCTGCTGTGTTTTCTATAAAATATGTATGGGCTGGGCCACACAGGGCTTCCTCACCACAGCCATTTCACAGACACGCACCAGTGAAAGCACAGGTCTTATAGCTGTTCTCACCCATTTGTTAATTCACCCGATTGCTAAACACAGTGAGGTTGATGCACTTGTATCTGCAAATGCTACATGGCGATCCATCAAGCTAGCATATCGAGATACATTTGCTAAGCTGTGAAGGCGCTGGCCTGCAACTAGACGGGTGGAAGTGGAGCAGGAGGTTTGACTCAATGGCCTTACAGACCCCTTCCAACTCTACTCCTGTGCTATTCATTTGGTTGAAGGCTTCAGTGGAGTGATCCACATTACGGCTTGCTTTTTTGAGGTACCCTTGTGTTATATCTTGGAGGACTATTTGAATGGGATATTGAAATGCTCTTTTGCCTACCTTGGAAAAATAAGGATTTGTTTTTGTACTAATTGTAAATTTTCAAAAGAAAGGTAAGAGAGTTTTCTTTTTCCTCTGATGTGTGTGGGATCAGTTCATTCCATTGGATTAAGCAGGCTGGGAGATGACTAGAGCACAGGTGGAGAAAAACTCATACCGAATCTGACCGAACACTTCTTAGAGCTCATCACTGAGTCTATGCTGTGGCAGTGAGGGTGGTGAAGAAGGAATTCTGCTCAGCTTCCATTGCATCCTCACAGTGCTGTCCTGTGGAGCTTTTCTGGGTGGTGCAGGGCCTATTACATTCTGGGCCTAAGTGAGATCCTACTGTAATGACTTTGCCCAGCACTTCAGGGATAAAGTCTTTCAGATAAACCATAAATTGAACTCCACAGTTGATATGGTCCTTGAATGGGAGCTGCCCAAGCACTCAAAGTTCATCTTTGTTCGACGGGTTTCAATTATTGCAGCCTGAAGATGTGGATGAGGCATTTGGACAAGTCCCTGCCACCACTTGTTTCCTTGACCCTTGCCCTTCATGGCTGCTCATCAAAGCCAAGGTTGGAATTTGTACTTGAATTCAGGAAGTTGTCAATGTCTCTCTGAGGGAGGGTCAGGTTGTGGCTTCCTTGAAGGAGGTGGTGATCAGGCCCATCCTGAAGAAGGCAAACCTGGACCCGGAGATTGCCACCAATTATAGATCAGTGGCTACTATCCATTCTTGAGCAAGGTGTTTGAGTGGGTGGTGGCTGGACAACTCCAGGCTCTCTTGGAGAAAACTGACCATCTGAACCCATTCCAGTGTGGTTTCAGGCCTGGTTTTGGGACTGAAACTGCCTTGGGTGCCCTGTGTTGGAAGAGGGACAGGAGGAGTACATCCCTATTGGTTGTCCTGGACCTATCAGTGGCTTTTGATACTATCAACCATGGTACACCTCTGGATAGGCTGGTTAGTTGGGGATTGGAGGCACCTAAGTATCTGAAGGAGCATCTTCTTCCTTATACACCTGTCTGTGCCCTAAGATCTGGATCTGAGGTCCTTCTTCAGGAGCCCTCCTTGGAGGCAACCAGAAGAGTGGCTCCTTGGAGAAGGGCCCTGGATCTGGAACCTGTTCCAAGAGAGGTGCTCCTGGCACTGACCCTTTATTCATTTTGGAGCCAGGCCAACCCCTTTTTAGTTTCCCTGTATTTTAAGAATTAATTGTCACTTCAACATTGGCTTTATTCAATCTATATTCTATTGTGTGTTGCCACTATTGTTTTATTTCTCTGTCCTGAGACTTTTGAAAAGGATGCGATAAAAATGCTCCAAAATAAATAAATAAATGGCTCTACCTCCTTTCTCTTGGTGCAGTTGAAATACATTTTGCTTTTCACCATGTTCACATGTCAGAGTTCTGGTGCTTTCACTGATTCCAGGATTCCTGTTTTATTCTAGTCTGGACTGGGAAATTTGGGAGAGGCATGCTCTATCTGGGAGGATACAGTTGTTAACTGTCTTTGTCGCCTGCCTAGATAGGAATTCTTAATTACTTGTGAATACCCTCCCATCTTCCATAGGAATAGGAATGCATGGGTAGTAAGCAATTCAATTTTTCCTCTTTTTTTTTTTTGAAAAGTAAAAGCAATAACTGTTTGGTATTTGTATGCTTTTAGATAGAATCAAAGCTGGAACAGTATTGACTGATCAACAACTGATGATGCTTGCAAAGAAGATGGGTAAAGACTGGAAAGTAATTGGGATTCAGTGTCTTAAGTTATCCATTGAAGAAATTGAGCAGATTGCAGCAAAGGAAGAAGATGTTAATATGTATAAATGCATGATGTTACGGAAATGGAGGGACTCTGTACAGAATAATGGAACTGCACAAAGCTTATATGAGTGTCTAAAATGTGAAGCATCCCATGAAGTGCTAGAAATCTTAAAAGGTAAATATCATCTCTTTACATTTTCTTTCTCCATGATGTTTCCAGAACTTGAGGTAAAACAGATATTTTAAGTGTGGCAGTGTGTCTTCAGAGTGCTTTCGCTATCCTGCAAATACTTACCGTGCTTTGATGGCCTGGTTCAAGCCTTAAAAAAATATATCTGTAAGTTTCCAACATGTTAAAGAGAAGGAGGTTTGAGTGATCTTCCGTTATTTACTGTTGAGCTTCAGCATACACATCCCCAGTGTCTATAGAGCAGTTTTGCTGTTGTCGGAAGTGAGTTTCTATCAGTTTAGAGGACCTGTGTAGCTTATCATCCATCCTCCCACCCACCCCATATGGGATCTTACATCACTTTGAAAGTATGGGACTTGCAACCACACCGCCACTTCCTTCATTATGCATGGATGTAAAAAGGCTGAGACTGCATAGAAAGAAGTCAAGTTGCATCACATTTCCATGTGTGCATTAAAAAACAGCCAGTCTTCAATCCCTGGTTTCTGAATGTCTGTGGCTGTAATTTATGTTTCCTGCCACTCCTACTTGTAGCCATTTAAGAGGCTCTCATTTTCTTTCCTTCTTTCACCTTGCAGTGACTGTAGTTGTTGCCAACTGGTACAGTCACCGGGAAAGCTTCTCCCTCATGTAACCTTCTTATGCTATGAGAAGTGGGATTTGTGTTCTGTTGTGATTGCTGCAATGGAATTCTGGAGATATGCTGAAGACACTGGTGTTTGCTTCAGCATTAAAGCTCTACCTGGTTAAGGACTAATATTGTGGAAGATCTGGATGGTTATTTCAAATCAGTATCTGATTTTCTCACCAGTTTTCATTCTCTTCTTCTGTAGTACTGCTCTTTCCCCCTACCTTTTCTTTGGCTTTCTAAGCCTGCTGCTTCTATCTCCTTTTCCTTAGGCTTCTTTTGCACTGTGCAGTAGCCGGAGCACCTTCCGTCTGTCCCACCCCTCTGTGGCATCCAAGTTCTTCTGCCAATCATGTCTGGAGGCTTCCCGGCTACTCCAACATTCAGCCATTATGAGATAAAGGGAGAGGAAAGACACTTTTATGGATATGAATCTATCATTATTTACCTTATTCAGGACAGATAAAAGGAAGTACTTCCTCATACAGCACATAGAATTCACTTCCATGAAATAATTTGACAGCTTTAAGGGGGGATTGGACACATTCATGGAGGAGAAGTTCATCAGTGGCTATTAGTCTTGATAGCTAATGCTGTCGAGCTGCCTCCACTGTCAGAGGCAGTGTGTCTGCAGACACAAGGTGCAAGGGGCCGTTGCACTCACGTCCCGCTTGTGTGATCCTGTGGGCACTCTGTGAACAGGATGCCGAACTAGATGGAGCCTTGTTCTGGTCCAGTACAGCTGTTCTTGTGTCCGTATGTTTAAAACTGAAAGTTATCACAACCATTAAAAAACAGAAAACCCCTAAATCCAAAATAAAGGGCCAAATGAGATGGAATGCAGTTATACCTATTTCCATCTAATTTTAGAACAGCTATCGCAAATAACAAAGTTTGATATTTGCTCTGAGCACCCAAAAACATATGCTCTTTCTCTAAATTCTGCTATCTCGGGCCTTTTGTTTCACTATCCATTCATTGAGGGGACTGGACTTTTTCAATTTCCCAAGCTTGTGTTCAAATGTGCTACTTGCAAAGCTGTACTTGTATTTTTGTACTTTCACCTATGGGAGAAAAGTACATTTTCAGTAGGTTTTTTATGTTTTGTATTTTTCTATGACTAAATTTGCATAACATGCTGGAAAGTTTAAATCTGTGTAATCCATGAAACTTAGGAAAAGCCAGTCTACTGCAAACTCCATGGATCAGATTCATAGAAATCCAAGCCCATTTGAATCTGTTGTATTTTTTCAACTTCCCTAATTCCCATATTTGACAGTGAGACACATTTGCTTAGGATTGCACCCTTAGTCAGTCAATGTATTTGTCACAGGCTGAGCCAAGAAAAAAATCACATACATTATGAAAGTAAAACAGAAAGAAACAGGGTGATTTCTATAACACAGGGTGATTTCTATAATAAAATTGTCTTGGCAATTACCTTGACCTATAGCCTCCATGATTTTAAAACTCACAGTCATCACAGTGATAGGTTTAGACTATTTAGACTAGTAATACATTTAGGAACAATCCTATGTCCCTGTATCTTGTCTGAGAGGCTGCAGATTTTTCAGACTGCCAAATCCAAGGTCAGATAAGAGTTTGGCCCTCCATTCCCTGTTTCCTCACAGCCAGCATGGAAATGGGTTATACTCTGGGCAGGTGGAATCTGTGGAATTTCCTCCATTTGGCTCCTGGGACTCCAGTTCTCCTTGCACTGTGTATGCACGTGGGCATCTGATTGGAAGCAAGGTCTAGTGGCGCTCTGCTTCCAGACATGCACTTTGCAGAAATAGTTATGGAATTTACATATTTTGCTCAAAGAGTAATCTACTTTGTGTACTAGTGTTCTTGAGCATTTGAAGACTTTTTTTCATCTCTGCTCACTTTTTGTCCAGGATCAAGTGCGGCAAAAAGTCCAATGACTACAAGAGAGCTGAATTCTGGCTTGATGTTCACATCCTTAAGTGCAACAAAAGAACAGTATCAGATCTTAGTCTGGAAGAAGATCTTAGTCTTCCTGATATTAAAAAAGCTCTTACAAAGTAGTGAAATTTGCACACAAATTAAAAAGCAAGAGAGCCAATAGACAACTTTCCTTGCCTTACCTTTCTAATACATTCAGTGGGGTTAGTTGTCCTCGTGTCCCACATGCACCTGAATTTCTTCTTATGATTTTGTATTTATTATATTTTTAGATGACCATATGAATGGAGTATTTATTTGCAAACTCATAAGATTGGAATCGGAGCTCAATGTACCATCCACTTCAAGTTTTAAATAAATAACTCTCTCTCTCTCTCTCTCTCTCTCCTCTCTCTCTCTCTCTCTCTCTCTCTCTCTCTCTCTCTCTCTCTGCCCCAGGTTTTTTAGAACAGAGATGAGTTCATGAGGAAGAAACTTGGAAAAATTAGGACTATTCTTCAGTGTACATTTTCCAAATGATTGAAAAGGGATTTTGTTATGAATCGCTAAAGTTTTAAAAATCTGAAAAGTCGCTATGAAGAGAAAATTATACATTCATCATGGAAACTTCACTTTGGGAAAGAAGGGAAGCAAATGCAGCTGTGGATTCATGTACATGCTTGGTATCTATGGCTTCCAAAGATGCTTAGTAATATCCCACAGTTTACACATCAACTGTTTCTGTAAGGAGAATCCATATTTTCCTTCCATGTTCTCAGGTCTTGGTGTATATTGCTTGGATTAGCAAGGATCTGCACTCACTGCTTTTGGTTTTCTCATCCATACCAGAGTCATAAACCAGACTCACAATTGTGAAGCTGCTATTCTGCTTTTTGTGTATGAAGATGCAAATAGTGTTCTCTCTTCTTTCCCTGCAGATATTTACACACAGTATGGTTTTTTATACTCTTCCTACACAGCATCTCTTTTTACAATCCCTTGCCAAAGACAATGGGAAGAAATCCCAAGCTTTCACTTAGAAATGGTGTTTGCATTGCTTTGGGCCTTGTTGAGATCATCCAGCAGTTTTCAAACTGTGAACCAACAGCCCTGGCATTCCTTGGGAACTTTTCCTTGGACATAATAGTGGTGATGACAGAGACCTTTTATGACAGATACAGCATTTTTCCAGATGAGGCTGTTTAACCCAATAGCACTGCTTCTGGATTTGTTGCAGAATTGAGATCAGAACTCTACATGAACTTATTTGCCTTTTCTGATCTTCCATTACATATTTTCTGTTACATAACCTCTAGTAGACTGAAGTATAGTGGAATGACACAGCTACATTGGTGCGCTTGTATGTGTTACACAGTACCAAAATGGTGGATTCCCCCCGGTCTAATTGCCCCAGCAAATTGCTCTAAAAAGAAGTGAAACCACACAGGGACATTGTTTAATGCACCTGTAAACAGCTGTGAGTGAGGAATGGCACATGCACAAGAAAAGCCTCATCTGGAAAAGCTGATGACCACCATGACTAGTCTTCTGCATTACGCAACAGCAGGAAAATTCCAAGATATTCTTAAGTATCCTATCTTTATGGGCAGTGGGGTAAGTCTTGACAAAAGACTATCTAGTGCCTTCCTTCCCCATAAAGTATATTCCAAATTCTACAAGAAAAACTTGTTTCCAATTATGCATAATACAGTATTGGGCTATCTTAAATTGTAGAATTTTGTCTTAATCGTCATGAAGGACTCTGGTGATAAGGTGCAGTGCAGATCATAGAAAATCCACTGGAAATAGTCAATCATCATTCTTGCTTTTCAGTTTTGTTTTGTTTTGTTTTGTTTTGTTTTGTTTTATAAGACATGGCTCACACACTTTACAGCTCACATTTAGCTAGTTAGAAGAGCTAAAAATTTCTATTTTTTATAGCTAAGATATTCAGAAACCTGAGCATTCCACATTCAGTACCACATTTTGCACTGTTCATGCTTTTGTGAAATTACGGTATATGTGCAGCCTTGACACTGACCATTTCTAAGAACTTTCTAATAATATCAGATAAAATCGAAAGTTAATTAATCCCCTCCGGGAAGCAGCAATGTGAATTTTATGTAGATTAAAAAACACTAATTTTAGAGGTTTTTCACAGTGTCAGTAAACATGGAGACAGAGGTGATCCAGTAGACAATTTTTACCTAGACTTCCAAAAGGCTTTTGACAGTTTGTCTCCAAAACTGGAGAGCCAGTGTTGTGTAGTGGTTAAGAGCATGGGACTGGACTTCAGGTGATTTGGGTTCTAGTCCCTGCTCAGCCATGGAGCCAACTGGGTGACTTTGGGCCAGTCACAGTCTCTCAGCCCAACCTACCTCACAGGGTTGTTGTTGTGGGGATAAGATGGAGGAGGAGAATGATGTAAGCTGCCTTGAGCCCTTTGTAGGAAAAAGGCAGGATATAAATCAATCAATCAATCAATCAATCAATCAATCATAAAAAGTCCTGAGTAGCTGTGGAATAATAGGAGGTCCTTTTATGGATAATGGTTAAAGAACAGAAAATAAAGAGTTAGGAATAAATAGTAAATTCTTGCAATGGAGATATGTAAACAGGTTAGTCCCTCAGGGATTTGTATGTAATATTCATTTAAAAAAACAACTTCAGGCTTAACCTAATGGGATCTGAGCTAGCAGAGACTGGCCAAGAAAGGGATCTTGGGGTTGTGTTGGTCAGCAAAATAAAAAGGTTATGTGAAAAAAGGAAAACTCCATGTTAGGGATAATTAGGGAAGGAATTGAAAATAAAATTGTCAAGTCCATCCTCCTCTTGTAGAATCTTTGGGATAACTTCACTTAGAGTACTGTATACAGTTCTCTGTGTCTTACCTGAAAAAGAGGACATTACTGCATTGGAAAAAGTGCAGAAAAGGGCAACCAAAATTAATCATATCATCTTTCTGAACAGAAATGGTCACAACATCTGGATTTTTTTGTAGCTTAGAGAAAAGGTGAGATAGGGGAGACATGATAAGAGATGTGCAAAACTATTCATAGTATGGAAAAAGTGGATAGTTCTCCCTCTTGCAATACTAGAACCTGGGGTCATCTCATGAAGCGGATTGGTGGGAGGCCCAGGACAGATAAAAGGAGGTAGTTCTCCATGCAGTACATACTTAAACTATGGAATTTACTTCTATAAGAGGCAGCAATGTCCACCCATTTGGATAACTTTAAAAGGATCACATTCATGGAGAGTAAGGCCATCAGTGGCTACTAGCCGATGGCTATATGCAGCCTCCAACATCAGAGGCAGCAAGCCTGTGCACCCCTGGTGCTTGGGAACATGGGTGGGGGGCTGCCGTTGCACTCATGTTCCACAGTAGAAACAGCGATAAACTGGTGGTGTGAATGCAACTTTTTAAAGAGCTGGAAAAGTCAGAAAAGTTGTAAACCCCTTTTACAATATAGCACTGGGACAACAGGCAGCTTTGGCATCTGTCAGCGCCATTTACACATAGATTCCAAAATGACACACTTTTCCTGTAAGATGTACTTCTGTGTTGTACAGATTGACTGGCATGTTGGTGTAATATAGATTGTATTTTATATTCTTCTTGATGTTTAGTTGAATGTATATGTTTGTAAAAATTTATTTGAACACTTCATCCATGCCTAAGTTCAACAGGTGAGGCGGGCAGGTGGGGATGAGGAGCATTCTGGCTCCTCTGCCTTCATTGCCATTATCTTCAGAAGGCATTGGACATGGTGGTGTAGGGGGAATGCTCACATGCTCACCCCGCCTATATGTTCTCCCATTTACAGCTGACTTACGCACCAAAGTCAGGAGGGGGCTGAACTTAGTCCATGAAACCACTTTACAGGGTTGGTCCTGCTGTTAGGCAAGGCAAGGCGGCTGCTTTGATGGGAGGTGGGGGTGGCAAGGTGTTGTAGTGACGTGTGCCATGAAGCTGGCTTGTCACGTCCTAAACTGGCATCCTGCGGTCAGATGCATGACTGTGATGGATTATCTCATCCTTTGCTTAGTTATGTAACTTTGTGCCTTGGGCTAATCAAGTTGAACTCTAAGTACTGTAGTTATTATGATCATTGAAACTGTTATTAAAAACAAGTTGGGCAACAAGTGATTTGTTGGATGTGCATGTTTATAACCCACTGATACTTTGAAATAATATTATTTAAACGATAGGACATTGTTGTGAACAAAAGATGCACTTTTCATAATGTACATTGACTCAGTTAAATTCTTGCTATGAGAACTTGCAATTTACGAGCATGAGTACATGCCAGTTAACCCTGGCCTTCCCATAGCACAGAAAGTGTTGCTGATAATCCCACTGAATCAACCAGTGGTGTGACATCTGTATGATTTTCCAGGTGACCTCATGTCAGCTATGTAAAGTTTGAAGCTTCAGAGGGAAGGAAGAGGCATTTGGGGGCTATCACAAGTATAGCTGCTGCAAAGGCATGTCAGCGTCTCCTAGTCTGTGGGTTTATAGGAATCGTTAGGACAACCTTTCTCAACCTAGTCTGCGCCAGTTTTGGACTAATAACTCCAATATTCCTGGCATGAGATCATGGAAATTGGTATGGAACATCTGGAAAACAGGTTGAAAACAGGTTGCTTTTGGAGCGTTTCTTGGGTGATTGTTCATCAATCAAACACAGTTCTTCCTATTTCCTCTTTGCCAATGTAATGCCTTATTGTTCAGGCAACATATACCTGGTTAGAAACTTACATGGCTGCCACTGGACCTTCATTCAAGAAGATGAGCTGAATAAGTTGCCTCCTTCAGCATTTAACTAGTGTTTTGGTGCACCATAGCACTGGGTGGATGTGTAAGATTCTCTTGGGTAGGAAGGAAGAATTGGCCTCATTGATTAAATGCTGGAGTGTTCAACTATTTGCAATTTATTTGGAAACTACCTGCAAACTACTTGCCTGATGTTTACAAAAAGAAATAAAAGCATTTTATACAGGACCCTAAAACTCTGTGGTGATATTGTACTTGACATTTGCAAAATGTTGAAGCCTGCTCTCCATGTTTGTGTGAATTAAACTTGAAAATTGCACTGCAAGTAAATGTAACCAAATTAAGACTTATGCATGTGGGATTTCTGGCAAAGGCATATAAATGCATGATAAGGCCAGCCAAGAGAAATCTGAAGCACAAATGGTGGAAGAGATAAAAATAATTATACTCCATGAAAGGACAAAATTGAGTGAGAGAGGCAGGAGGCAAACCCTGTGCATGTTAATACAGAAAAAGTCTTAGAGGTGGGGGAATTCTAGGAGTTGTAGGATTTTTCTGTCTAAATATGCATAGGATTGTTCCCTAAATGGTGGAAAGAAAAAGACAGGTAAATTTAAGATGAACATGAGTTTCATTGCAGAAAGTGATGGAGAAATACGAACACTTGAACCAAGTCCACTGAAGAACCAAGTCCAATAGAAGTGTCAGAGAATATTTTAGAAACCAATGCCTGTAGAAGTAAGCTGATGACATGGTGACTGCTTTTTAAAAACTAGCCCTCTTTTTATGCCATTCACAGGGATTTGACACATAGGAATGAAGCGGCTGAATATTTTCCTTTTTTTCCATGGGTGGGAGTGAGGGGGCAACTTCGCTGGCCATTGTTCCAGATTCAGGCACAGCAACATGGCAATTATTTCAAATTAGGTCTCCATGCTTACTTTTTAACCAACATGCTGAGACATGAGGATGCCCTGAATCTTGCAGTTATCATCTTTCATTGTTTAGTGGCATTCATTGACGTGTCCAGGGAATTGTGCCTTCCTTACATCTGCTGATTAATTTCAAAGGAAAGGCCTGTCTGTCCTGTTACAGCATTTTGTATTCTAATTGATAGGTTAAATTCAGAAATGTAGTAGTTCACTGGAACCTCTGCTAATAGCAGTTGGCACATAATGGTATGAGTAATGATACATAATGAGCATGTCACTCATGTCTGGATTTTAAGGTTGCAAGCCTGTGCACGCACAGCTCAGAGTAAGTCCAACTTTCAGGAACTATATGTAGGACTGAACACATTTCCTTTCAAAATGATGGTCTCAGTATGTTTTCTTTTTCTCTTCCAGACAGTAGGTGTTTCATGATCAAACTTGAATGTTGATACAACACTTTCAGCTGTATGAATTCTGGAACAAGGCATTCAGGATATCTGTGTCACTTTTCTCACTTTTAATTCTTTTGGCTTAGCTGCAAAGCTGTTTTGCATAAATTGCATCTCAATTGATATCAAAGTTTTCCTGCTATTTAAGGGTCTTATTAACTAGCATTGGTAATTGGATTAATCATTAGGAATAGTGCAAATTGGTGTCCTGCAACAGCAGGGGATTGGACCAGATGGCCTTGGCCCCTTCCAGCCCTACTATTCTATTATTTCAAATCAGTGAATAAATCAGTCCCAGGTACCCTGAATCTATAGAGATTTGCAGCTCTTACCCATGCTAGAAACCCTAGCATCAAAATCAGGCCCCAGCCCTCCAGTTATTATATGGATCTGCTTTTACAGCACTTTAAGTTTAGATGTGCTGGGAAACAGATTGCTACCAATTTTAGGCACATTAAAGGGCATTTCACGCTTCATATTAAGAACTAGAACAGGTATTTCACTGGTTTCATTAGAGCATCCATCTATGAAATAATACCGATTAAACTGTATGCTTTAAACAGTGTCAATGAAGATCTACTTTACTGAGCCACTGTAATTATCTTGTGCCTGTGGAAGAGCTGTTTGTGAGTGACAGCTACAGTCAAAGCCAGGTGGAAATATCAGTCAGGAGGGTGAGATTCAGCAAGAGTGAACTGAGGGAGTTAGACTGATCCAAGACCAGCCCAAGACATGCACAAACATCGGCCAGGCTGGTAACTACATCTTGCTTCAGCACTTCATGGGCCAGCCTCTTCCACACCACTGTGTCTGAGGAGAACACAAGACATCCAGTCCTCCCTCAGCCAGCATCTCACTGCTGCTACTTTCCCGCACCTGCTGCCTGTGCTTTGCCTCATGGCAGGCTTAGTCCTGGACTGAGAGAGGCTAAGAAGTGAAGAGACTCACTCTGTGAGGGTCAGTCAGAGGGGAGGCAAGGGGGATTAGTCAGATCATATCTGTTTTCAGTTCAACTCATTTCAGTCGTAATTCACCAACTCTGTGACAACTGATCGGAAAGGCTGCCTCTTCCTGCAGCCTTTGGAGACA